TCATGCCTGAGTATGTTTCTATTGGCTATTTTCTCCCCTTGATTTTGGCCCACATTTCCTGACTTTTCAGATGTCTGATCATTTTTTATTATATGTTGGATATTGTAATGACATGTCAGGAGTATACTGATTTGAAGAATTTAAAATTACACGTGCATTAAACCAGTGCCTCAACCAGTGCTCTGCCTTTCTCAGTCAGTTTCTCCTACCAAATCCCATGTTGCTGAAGTGTGTGGAGAGGAATAAGGAGGCTCGGAGAGCCTCACTCAATTTTAGGCAGTGCACATTATTGTTCGTAACGTTAAATCTGGAGCTAGATTGCCTAGATTTGAATTCCAACCATTCCAGTTACAAGCTCTGTAGACATTAGCAAGTTACTTCATTTCTCTGTGCTTCATTTGCCTCTTAAATGGGCATTATAATTTAGTACCTGCTTTATAAGGTTGTTGAGATAAGTAAATGTGTCGACACATATGACGTTATTGGAACAGGGCCTGGTGCATACTAATTTTTCAGTAAGTATTAGTTCTCACTATTAATAAAGTGGCATGATGCTCTCCTAGGAGATCAGTCTCCCATGGCTGTGTCCACAACTGCACAGCACCCTTGCCTGCCATGCTCGCAGATGTCTCTTGTGTGTGTAGGCCATATAAGTGCCTGTCTCCTTCATGCCCATCTTTAGACCATGGGCTCCTCCAGGACAGGGACCAAGTCTGGGCACCAACATCCATATGCTGCAGGGGCACAACACCCCTGTTGGTAGAAGTCTAAACCCCAACCTTGCCCCCATCCTGACACCATGAAGGGTCTCTGGCTTAGAACTGGTCCAGAACCTGAAAAATGGCAGTATTCTTCCTTCCTCTCATCTCCTTAATAGAAACATGGAAAACCTTCTATCAGAGCTGGAATTTAGAGACCATCCCTTCCACCTCTTCATTTTACAGACGGTCTAGCTGAGCCATAACAGGAGAAAAAGTGTAACCCAAAGTCAGACTTGCGGGTCTTCAAATAAAAACAGTGAGTGATGGGAGATGGCAAGCTTCTTTGCTATGTGTCAGAATTATGTCAACTCCAAGTTTCATACTGCCCTCCCAATTATGATGCAAAACACCAGTTGACCGTTCTCTCTGTCAGTTATCAATACAACAGAAGAAAATGGTTTGAGGATTTAAACCTTGCTTCTATCCCAAATTTTTCAAAATTTTGGAGAAAGGGTGTAATAAAAATGTCTAATGATGAATGCTCGGGAGTGGGAGTTCAGAGGGCCATGGGACACCCACCTTTCTACACCTCACTCGCTTTTGCCCCTGCACCACCCACTCAAATCACCCAGCAGGCCTGAGACTATCAAGTACAGCCCGTTAACAGCATAAACACTGAACCTGCCCAAGTTTGCATTCTACTCTGCTAACCAAAAGACCTTTGGCAAGTTACATAATCTCCTTGTACCTCAGTTTCCTCATCTGTAAAGTAAGGATAGTGATAGGAGCTACCTCACTGAGCTGTTGAGAGGACTGAATATGGACTGAATATGTCCATATATGTATAAGGTGCGCAGAACACTGCCTGGCACACAGCTAGTAGTGCAAAAGTGTTGATTATTAGCCATCACTGTCATTATTCTTGCCTTGTTCCCACCAGCTTCTCAGGCTTTGGAGTCCAGAAACACCCAGTCCTATAGCCTTGTCCTTGCCTGGCACAGCAGAATTCCAACCCAGACATCCAAATCACCAGTCATAGACAGAAAACTGGAAAGCCCTCTGCCTGCGACTTGCCTAGGGAAACTGAGTCCCAGAGAGGACCAGGGAGTTTCCCAAGGTTATCCAACTGAGGTGAAATCTGACCTAGAATCCAGGTGCCCCAGTGTCCAGGCACCTGTCTAGGGCATGACCAGACTCCTCCTAGGCCATGCAGAGGACCTTGGTGTGACCCTGTAGGCTGTGTGATTGGCTTGAGAAGGTTAAGCATTTGGTGCTGCAGATTGGGTTAGAAGTCAGCTGGCTGGTGGGACGACCCCACCCACCATGGCGGGAGCCAAGATAGAGCTGAGACAAGCCTTTGGCCTCTCAGTAAGCACTCCTGTTAGGCAAAAATGGAGGAAAAACACTGAGCCTCCTTGCACTGGGGATCAGTCACAGTCAAGGACCCCAGGTGCCTGCCCCGAATATGTTCCTTCTGATGGACCTGGCAAGATATGTCTTGGGCCACCCCTGCCCTGCCCTCATCCTTTCTGAGAGACCATATGTCCCCAGAAGATCTCTGCCTTGGACAAGCTCCCTCTGTGGGCTGGGGTCCCAGGCCTGGGGCCAGTCCACAGCCTGAGTCTGTGACACTTGGACACTCTCCTGTCTGCACCAGCTTCCCGTGCTGCACCACTGCCTGGGGCGCTTGTCCTCTGCCTCATGTTAAGTAAACCTTCACCCCTATCCAACTTCCTTCTTTCAATTTCCTTGTACCCTTACCCAGCCTGGTCTGGTGGCCCCACAGTGACCTTGAAAGCATCTTTGCTTATTAACTGTCAGTTCCATCATCGCCAAGACTTCGAGGCAGAGACCAGGCTCTGCCTTTGAGACAAGGGCTCGCCTCTGCCCCACAGGCCCCTAGCAATGTCCGCAGAGGAGGTACTCAGTAATTATAGTAGGAAGGAGGAGACTCCTGGAGCTGGCAGTCATGGGGCAGGCAGAGATCATTTCCAACTCTGAGAATATGGGCTTAAGATTTTTATTTCATAGTAGACAATTCGGTTTTAAATAGTAACACCCAGCCTCTAAACGTTAAGCGCTCTGGGATGGACACAGCCAGCATTGTTCCAGCAAGAAGCCTGAGAGCTGGGGGTCCTTCCCAAAGGGCTTCCTGGAGGAGGAGGGGTCCGAAGAACAGTAGGAAAGGTCTGCCAGGGAAGGCAAGCTTGCAGTTTTTGAGAGGGGATAGAAAGGGAAGATGATGCATTTCCCAAGTCCTCCTGCCTAGAATAAGCCCGTTTGCCCAGCCTCCTCATCGGTTTGGAAACTCTACATTTAGAGGAGTTGTCGAGCTGCCTGGGAAGGGCTGAGGGATCTGGGCATGCATTCCTGCTAGCCCCCCAAAGTGAGGGCATCTCTCCCGCCACCCCCCCCAACATCGACCCCCAGTGCCAACTCCAACATCAATGCTCTATCCTCGCCAGGAAAGTGGGAGGAAGAGGAAAAAAGTGGGGCAACCCACACCTTCTTTAGGACAGAGGAAGGATCCCTCATTTCTTTCTGGGGTTTCCTGGGGTTGGAGTATATGGATTTCCAAAGTATCCTGGGTGCCCTGAAACTGCAAGAGCATTTTGGCACATTGATAGTGGTGAGCAGAGGGCTTCCAGCAGATTCTCAAAGGGGCTCCCAACCCATGAGAGGCTCAGGGACAGCACCCCAGACCTGAATTGTCAGGTGCCCTGAAGTGGTAGTGGGCAAGGATCACTTTTAAGAAATTGGAATTTGAAAGGGGAGAATTCTTTTGAAGTTGGTGTGCTGGTAGTGACACGCCGGCTTAGTGTGTGGCAATCTGGGAGTCATCTGCCATCTGAATGGGTGGAGAGCCTTGGAATAACCCCTGCCCCATCTCACTGCTGTGCCCTGCATCTGAGCCTTCACTTTAGGGCTGGCTTAAATTTTCCCCTAACACCCAGTGGCTTCTGTTTTTTCACCCCTTCCAACACCTGCTCACCCCAGAGGCAGTTGGCAGGTGACAACTCAGGTGGGAAGGGAATTTCGGGTTGGAAGGTGAAATAGCACAGTGTTTGGCAGGGGTGTTTCCAGGGAGCATGACCCAGGTTTTAGAAGATGCAGATATAAAGCTACACACCCAAGAGTCTCTGGAATGAGGTGGAAGTGGTGAGGGCATTAGAGGACAAAGGGCAACGTGCAGAGATACTGTTTCCATGGAAGAGGGGCTCTCTAGAGGCAACGTGAGATGGAGCTGTCAACTGAGTTTTATGATGCAAATAATGGTCAAATCCAGCTTACATGGTGTCCTGGTTTCAAAGCCAGTTATGGAAAGCTGGATTTCAAATGACATCTCTGCCTCTTGCTGGGCGTGTGACATTGAACATGTCTAAAACTCTCGAGTAGCGTTGACATATATACACCATCATTTGTAAAATATATGGTTGGTGGGAAGTTGCTGTGTAACAAAGGAGCCCAGCCTGGTGCTCTGTGATGACCTAGAGGGGTAGGATGGGAGGTAGGAGGGAGGTTTAAGAGGAAGGGGATATATGTAACCTTTCCCTTCTTCAAGGGGTCTTCCTAACCCAGGGATCGAACCCAGGTCTCCCACATTACAGGTGGATTCTTTACCAGCTGAGCCACAAGGGAAGCCCAAGTATATATACAATTATGTATGTGTATATATATATATATATAATTATGACTGATTCACGTTGCTGTGCAGCAGAAACCAACACAATATTGGAAAGCAATTATCCTCCAATTTTAAAAAAAGAGGGGGGTAAAAGAGGAAGGAGAAAAAAATAAAATAAAATTCTCTGGGCCTCTGTCACCTCACCTGGGAAATGGTACCATTAATCCACACTGGGCTCTTGGAAGATGTAAAGAGCCAACACACATAAAACACTTGGCATGATACATGTATTTAGTAAAGAAAAGTTTGAAAAAGCAAAGAAAAAAAAGGTTGGGTTGCCTGCCTAACTCCTGGGGCCCAGGGCCAGCTCCAGATAGAAAGCCCTTCAGCAGGAAGAGTGTCTTTCTGCGTCTCTGCCAAGGATGACAGACAACACACCCACTGCCATCGGCAGGCCCCTCCCTCGCCTCCCGCCCCTCTTTATGTAAGCCTCACAGGTGGGCAGCAAGGACCTGCGCCAGGTAGGCCAGAGGTATCTGGGGCCGCACCTCACTGGCAGCCCAAGGGCGACTGGGGCGGGTCCCCACTCCCGCCCAGCCCCACTGCCTCATCACCTGGACCCAGGGACCCTGCAGCACTGGCTCCCACACCTACGATGCCTTAGCTGGAGGAGCACAGCGAAGGCTTTGCCCTGTGCCTACCAGCCCCAAGGAGGAAGGTGAGCACCCTGTGGCAGCCAGACCCTCCCTGGAGGTGCATAGTCCGTCACTGTAAGTCCTCGGTGGGGGTCTTCCAGCTGGGAATCAGGGATCGCAAGAGGGATGTCAGGGGAGCCTTATCCTTGAGATGAGACAGGCAGGTCAGGCCAACTAAAGAGTAGTATGCAGTGTGGGGTCCGCTGTGCGGGGCAGCAGGGAAGCCAGTAGGAAGTGGGGCTGCACACGAGGCCACCGCTATCACGAGCTCCAGCTGTGCAGAGGGACCAGCCGGTGTGCCCAGGACTGTGGGATCAGAAGGAGGCACAGCTCCTATCCCTGCTCAGGGGGGTTTTAGGATTTGGGGAAGTATTTGAACAATGCCCTCCATTGCAAATACCCTGCAGCATGTAGGAGACAGATTCTCCTTTTGCCCCCAGGACAAAGAGAGGTGAGAACCAGAACAAGAAAGGGGTGGGAAAGAGTGGTGGTGGTGTGGGGTTGGGGTGGGGGGGGTGGTTACTAATAGTGGACAGGAGTCAGGAGGCCGGGAATCTGATGTATTTGCTCATCCAGGTAATTGATTAGCCCTGGGGCCCAAGGCAGCCACCTGCTACAAGGCTGTGTTGTTCCCAATGTGATCAGAGTATGTGGGCTTAGGTGGTGGTGAATTACAGACAGGTACCGAGGCTGGGAACCAGTGAGTCACGCTCCGGAAGGAGGGCAGTCGCCCCAGACCTGGCCAGGCCACAGGGTGACTCACTCTGTGTCTCTGTTGCAGGGCGGTTTGGTGGTGCCGGGCCTCTCTGGGGCTGATGCGGCTCTCCCAGGGGACGCCTGAACAGGCTCTTCTGAGGTTCTCGTTCTCTCCGGAGTGAGCCTGCAGGGTGTGGCCACCTCCTGGGGACCATGCCAGAGGCACTCCTGCTCAGGGCTGCCAGCTCCATCCTGAGGACCGTGTAAGGAACAAGGATCCTACCCTCCTGCCACCTCCTGGCCCCCACACTGCCTTCCAGGGAGGAGAGTTCTTGGGCTCGGCAGGGTCCCTGGACCCCAAGACTTGGATTGGGACTTTGCAGCCTATTTAATAACCCTCCTAATCTCACCAAAGAATTTCCTCCTACTTATTCACCAAAAGATTTGTGAGAGCCTAAGCACTACATGTATCGTGTTATCCTCACAATAGCCATAGGATTTAGGCAGAAAACTTGAGGCTCAGAGAGGTTCATGACTTGCCCAAGGTTGTAGAGCAAGTAAAGTGACTTGAACCCAGGCAGGCCAACTCTGGTAAATCTGAGTGCTCTATTGTTGCAAGAAAGCATTTATGGAGTACTTACTGATACAGAGCAGAGTGCTGAATGGGAAGAAAGGGCAACAGAAATAAATGGGAGCTGGATCCCCATCCATGAGGGGTTCACATGGAAAATGAAGGCTCCCTTGACTTAAATGTCACACACATAGTGACAACTTGAGCAGAATTAGGTCCAACCAACATTTACTGAGCTCCAATTGCCTGCCAGAGAGCACTTAGGGCCAGAGGACAGGGTTGAATCGGGCATGACCCCTACTCTCAAGAAGTTTCTCAAGCTATCTGTAGGCTTCAAAACCCAAACCTGCATGTTTGAGGGCTACAAGGGTGAGGGGGTGTTAAGGATCATCCAGGAGGACTTCCTGAAGGAGGAGTTGAAGGAAGCTATTGGCAGGCTCCGTCTTTAAATGATTCCCATCACATCTTCTGGAAAGACAGGAGGAGAAAGGAAAGCCAGTTCAGGGAAAGGAGAGTACAGGCCCTCCCAGATTCCTCTGCTTACCCCACACACTTCACAATACACCTGCTCGTACGTGCCCTCCAAGTGTTTTCTTGCTCCCCGTGCTACTATTGGGCAGATGCTGAAGGAGGTTTTGCTTCTGGGAAAGTGAGTAAGGCAAGATGCTCACAGTCCGTGTGTGTGAACTGGGATTGAGAGCAGTTTGCATCCTTGTGCTAAGTCACTTCAGTCATGTCCGACTTTGCGACCACATGGACCATAGCCCACCAGGCTCCTCTGTCCATGGAATTCTCCAGGCAAGAATACTGGAGTGGATTGCTGTGCCCCTCCTCCAGGGGATCTTTCTGAATCAGGGATCTAACTCATATCTCTTGTGTTTCCTGCATTGGCAGGCGAGTTCTTTGCCACCAATGCCACCTTTGTGTCTTCCTCAGGGATCCTTTTTGGATTTTCTGCTTTCTCATAGGAATGCAAAAGCAGAGGCAAGTCAGCCCCCTTGGGCTGTTCTTTCATTGTCACTGTCATTCTGCTACTTAGGAACTTTCTCCTGTGACACTGAGCCAAGTTCTAGAGCGCCATGTTCCAGGTGTAGTCGAGGATTCCATAATGACGGGAATACTGTGTTCCTCCCCTTTAACAGGCTCCTTGGGTTGACTATATAATATTCACACTTCCTCTGTCACAATGATTTACCAGCCACTTGTGATTTCTGGAAGAGCAGCAAGAATCAGAAGGGGCCCAAATTGCTCTTGAGGAGTCAAAACAGAAGGGATTTCTCCCCAGATCTCTTTTCTTTGAGGAAAACATTATAAATTCCACTTTGGAAGCCATCTCCTCTGACTTAACAATTCTAACAAGCTTGGCTATTTTATTTACTAGCCTGCTACCGAAAAAAACGCCACAGAGTAGGAGGGAGGTGAGTCAGTGGAGGCCAGCACAGGGACAGTGGCAAGGAGTGACCACTAGTGATGCAGGTGAGGATTAAAGACGAAAGACAACCATGGCCAGCAGCGACACGTGAGGCAGCAGCCACCTCAGGAAAGGACAGATGGCCCTCCACGGCCTGCAGTTTGACTCACTTCCGTGTTACGAGCCAAACCAGTAGAGTCTGTTACTAGTATGACCCTGGGTGAGCAGGAAAAAGTCATAGGAAGGTCCAGCACATTCAGTTTCAGTCAATGGACAAGGGTACCCTCCCCTTAAGGGGACTAAATCTTGAAGGTTCGAGCCGAGGGGCAGAGTACTCTTTACTCATTTTGATAATTAGATTTTGACCTTGTCTTAAGCATCCAATATTCTTCAGGCCCATAGCGGGCTGAGTAAGACCCTCCGTGGGCCATCCTCAAGGGGTTCTTGTCCCACCAAGTACAGGCGGGGGACAGGATCCACCCTCTCCTTGAGGGGGGGAAAGGACAGGCTCTGGGAGAGGAGAGGACAGCACAGGTGACTGAGTCACAAGAGGCTTGCTGCTGCAATGGGGCAGCGTCGGGGCAGATGCTTCAGGAAAGGCCCTCACAGGAAGCTGCTTCCTACTGTCTCTCCTCCCCATAGACTGAAGAAGGGTCTAATCTGATGGTTAGGCTTGGCCCTTGGCTTCCTGAGGTGTCCTTTCATTTAGTGTTTGTTTAGCTGTTTTAAAACCAGAACCAGTTTACGCAAATTTGATTAGGTGGCAGAAACGCTGCCTGTACCTTTTGATGGTGGGGATTTAAAAGCAAGCTTGTTTGTGAGGCAATAGTTAAGATGGTGGGAGATTATAGCCAACGACGGCCTTGGCTAATTTGGGGGTGGCTACCCAGCGGGTGATTTCAAATTTGACCAGTTTAAGCAGGCAGCCCTGTCTTTTGAGAACAGGGACCAAGATAGAGCATGGATGTTATACCAAGTTCACAGGATACCATCCCCCCTCCCAGACTCAGTGTGGGACCCTCAGCCTAGTTGGGTGTGCGTCCCCCAGCTTGCCCTGTAATTGCCTGAGCCCAGAGCTTGGGGTCATTTGGTGACAGCTTTTACTCAACGACCCAAGAGAGTAGTGGCAGTGACCAGTGGTCCAAGGTCAACAGGACGCGTCCTGCGGTTCTCAGAACCCTCTGTCTTCCTCTGCTTGCACAACAGGCCTCATCTGAAAAAAGCACGCTTCTCAGTCCTTCTGGCAGCCTCCTGGAGCAGGTTACCATAGCAACAGAAGGACTGCTCCAGCCCTGTGGCCCAGCCTTGCTCACAAGGTTTCTGAGAAGGGGACCAGCCTGGCACCCCACTCCTCATCTCCCTGCTCCTCACCCTCCCCCTTTCAAAACCTCATGATGTCTTTTGCTTTAAAACCTATCTCAGGTTATTAAACAGACTACCGCCAGGTGGGCCTGAGTGTGTTCGCAAACTCAGTTTGAACCTGCGGTACCAGCAAGAAGTAAGACCGCATACGAAAAGCAGGTAACTGAGCCAGGTGCCTGGGAACTGGGCAGGGATGGGACCAGCTCCACTCTGACAGACAGGTGGGACTCTTTGAAGCCAGGGGCCTGCCTCAGGGCTGCCAAGACCAGCTGCACAGGTTACACACTGCACAACTCCAGGTTCTGTTTGTATAGCCTATCACTGTGACACGTGTCCCCAGAGCTGAGTAACACCACAGCCTTGCTTGACCCTGAGGTGAATACTGAACCCCATCTGCTCATCCACCCAGAAGGTTGAGGTCTGGCCAGTTGAACCCTTAGGAGGAATCACACGGAGGAGCAGTGAGGCTAAGTATATAGTAGAGGCCCAATAACCCCATCGGCTGTGTTGACCAGAAGAGGATTCATTGTCCAGGGCCACCAAGCCTTGAAAGCAAGGGGATCTAGACCAGGAGTGAAAACAAATGACAAGAGCCCCAGGTTTCCCTGGTCCCCCTGCCTGTTCTCTCCATCAGGGAATGGACACGGGGCACCCTCACAGACACCCCTGAGAAGAAGGCCTCACTTGGGAGCCAGCTTAGGACCCACGAGAGCTGTAGGAGTGTCCTCATCTCTGCTCTGAGTTTCTAAGAACGGCTATTCTCGGGGACTGAGGGCTGGTGGGTGTGGGCGTGAGGGACTTGGCGGCCCCTCCCAATCCTCAAAACTTGCATGCCCGGACTCCAAGCCTTTCTTGTCCAGATGGGGACACTGAGCCCAGAGAGAGTCATGTGCTTTCCCAGAGTCACACAGCAAATTAGAGTAGAGCAGGGCTCGATTTTTCTTTCTACTGAGCCCTTAGAACCTGAAGGGAGAGCGTGGCATGGGGGTGAGGTTAACTCCTGCAAATAGTAAGGTCTTGACCCCCGAGCCCCCTAGGATGCAGCGATGCCAGTATCACCCCCGGGGGTGCTTGACACTTTCTGGGCTAGCATCGGGAGCCCAGGCCAGCCTGTTGTCTTCTAACAATTGTTTTCCCCTTACCCCTTCAGATCCCTGACTGATGGGCAGATGCTCTCCAAAGAGCCCCCAAGCCATGCTCTCAAACTCTCGACCCCAGAGAAGGTGAAAGATGCCCAGTTGAATCCTCCAGGTGAGCTGGCCGGGAGGCTGCCAGGCAGGACTGGGTGGGCGGGACAGGGCTGGAGCTGTACTGGGAGTGCTGGAGGGGGTTAACAGGACACTACGAAGCAAGCCAGGTGACCCACAGGACAAAACTTGGGGGGGACAGGCCAGGTGGAAATACTGATCTCCATGTCCCCAGGGACCCCACTACGTCCCTTCTTCTTTCATGGCCATCAGGGCCAAGCTTGATGGAAGGCGGTGGGAGGAAGGTTTTTTTTCCTTAGGAAACATGGGAAGAAGAGAGGTCAGTGATAGCAAGACACCTGGGGCCTCATTTGGTGCACATGTTGGGTACCTGGAATCTCGGCTTGGGGTTGGTGAAAGAGGAGCAGAGGCCCAAATAAACAAGGCCTTGGAGTTTCCAAGTGGGTTGAGGCAGTTTCTTGCTGGGCCAAGGGGCATGCTGGCAGGCAGGCACTGGCAGAATTGTTTTTGAAGCTTTGGGAGGCCACATACTCTTCTAATGACGTTCACTTCCAGATAATTGCACCTTGAGGGAGGCGAGAGTTGTCATTTACCGTGGTGAGTCATCAAAATGATAGTAATAACAAGGCTTTTGTTTACTTTTATTGGCTGTACAATGATATTGTAGCAACAATGGAAGTTTAAAAAAAATGGAAGTGACCAGTGCCCAGGGAAGCAGGTCACTGCCTCCCTGGTTCTGAGATGTCCTTGGGACAGTCCATTGTTGCCATCATGTCTCTGGTCTGTGTCACCTGCCCGGGGAGATGAGATCCCTCCGCGGTGCTGGTTTTCTCAGAGCTTTCCCAGCTTCCCCCAGAGAAGCCAGGGTGAGGGGCAGGTCCCTGAGGCCCCCCGGCTTCCTTGGGGGTTTGGGTGGATGCTGGTCAGGGAGATAGCAAGTTGACTTTTGGGTGGTAGAGTCTGGACTGGTTGAGTATTTTGTAGGATCTTCTCCAATGCGGGTACGCCTGGTGTCTTCAGACAGGGATTGTGGGTTTAGGGGTAGCAGCTGGTAGCATTTGAAGTGGAACTGGTTGGGGGGGGCCAGTTCTAAGAGTCCCCGAAGGGGCAGTAAAGAGGCCAGAATCGGGGACAGGAGGAAGGGGAAGAGGACTGGAGCCTTTATTCCCAGGTCTCTTCCCTCAGCTTTTCTTCTGACCCGGGTTTCCTGGGGAGAGGACAGGCCTGGTGTGAGGGCAGGGACAGAATCAGGACCTATCTGTCATGGACTGGAGGCAGAAACTGGGCCCAGATCACCACGCTCCTTGTCGGAGAGGAAGCTGAGACCAAAGAGGTGGTGACGCCAGCCCAGAGCTCTGGATACCCCACTCCCCCGCTGCCTGGCATCCTGGAAACCAAATGCTACTCCCTTCACCCTGGTGGGGCTCACAGCTGCCCCTCTCCCAGGCTGGGTGTCTCGGGGTGGCCGTGGCAGGGATCTGGCCTATAATGTGTACTTTCCTGGACTCTGCCTCTCTGCTCTTCATCAGAGATGAAGAAAGACTTGGACCAAGAAAAGGATTGACTGATTTTTTTTTTTTTTAATTCTCCAGGTCTTAGTGGTGGCATGTGGGATCTAATTCCCCAACCAGGGATTGAACCTGGGCCCCCTGCATTGGGAGTGCAGAGTCTTAGTTACTGGACCATCAGGGAGGCCCCAGATTGACCAACTTTTGAGGGGAAGCATTAGAAAGGCACCAAGAGAGCCCAGGAGAGGGGCCAGCTGGGCCTAGGCAACTCCAGCATCTTGTCCTGGGATCCACGGAAGCTCGCTGACCTGCTATGTTGCTGTGTCTCACCTCTGGCAGGTCCCATTGGCTTGCTCAGGCTTGCTTTCCTGACTAGATAGTTCTGTCTCTGCAGTGCTCACGGAGCAGCTGTCAGCACCCAGGGAATGTGCACAGAAAAGCCCTGGAGCTCAGAAGTCTTGGCTGTGGGTAACGGCTTCGGTGTTTTGCAACTTGAAGGGCAGGAAGGGAGTTAAAGTGGTGCAAGCTCGGTGTCCCCAGAGCATTCGGAGTCCGGAGTGTTTCCAAGGAGGAAAGAGTCATCGCCAACCCCTTTGGCCTTAATTGCTTAACCTGAATTAGTGCCTGGCAGCCCCGCAGCGGTAGGGCACAGAGACAAAGCAGATCTCAAACAGGTGGGTAGGGAATCCCAGAGAGGGTCCCGTCAGCGAGGGCTGGCAGCCAGGCCAGAGTGAGGTGGGGGCAAGTTACTAGCTTTAATGGAGGGGTGGGGAAGGAGTAGGCAACTGTAGGCGAGGCAGCAAGGCCATTCAGATTTACCAGGACCTCCAAAACTGTCGGGACAGCCAGGCTGGGGGTACATCTGGACTCCCATCCTTTGTGCAGGGCTAGGCTGCTGGGGATACTGAGATGGACAGGTTTCTTTCCTGCCCTCCAAGAACTCCTAGTCTGAGGGCAGACAGGCTCTGGGTGAAGGACACACGGAGGCTGAAGAAGGAAGGTGTGCTATCTGGGAACTGGGTGATCATGGTGGACTTCCTGGACGAGGATGAGTTCTAGCTGGTCTCAGACTTTTAAATTCCCATTAGGCCTGAGCTGAGTGGTCTGCCCTTAGGAGTTTAGCATCTAGGGCTGGGGATTAGGAGACAGGGACAACCTGGGAGGGACTGAGGTGGCTTCTCAGGACTGAGGTCCCTTCTTGCCCACGGGACCCCAGGCACAGCGTCCAAGGATAGTGCCAAGCTGGCCTCATCAACTCCCACAAGCCTGGCCCATGGGTCATGCTCTGCCCAACTCCATCTCCTGCGGCCTCCAGGGTTTTGAAGGGTGGAGGGGGAGGTTCTGGAATGCAGCTGCACTAAGATCCAGGTTCACCGTGGCTTGAGTGCCAGCCTGGCCCTGGGTCTTAGTTTCACAATTCTCCAGAGGCTCCAAGAGCCCAGCCTCTGTGTGGAAGAGGATATTGGAGCAGTCACACATGGGGAGGGGCCTCAAAACTGCATTTCCATAAAACTGAGAGAAAGAAACTATTTGCACCAAAGACTGTTAGGGAGAAGGTTTCAGGGGATTAGCAGATGGGTTAAATCCCCACACATCTGCCCCCTTAATAAGAGCAGCTTTTGCTAGGCTCTGTGCCGGGCTTCCTGGGTGGCGCTAGTGCTAAAGAAATCACCTATAAATGCAGGAGACATAGAGATGCAGGTTCACGCCCTGGGTTGGGAAGTTCCCTTGGAGAATGGAATGGCAACCCACTCCAGTATTCTTGCCTGGGAAATCCCATGGACAGAGGAGCCTGACGGACTACAGTCCATGGGGTCGCAAAGAGTCGGACATGACTGAAGCCACTTAGCACAGGCTCCGTGCCAAGGGACTGACTTGCATTCTTTCATCGTCTCTTTGTGGCAGCAGTAGAGTAGGCACTTCTATCAGTCTCATCTGGTAGAGGAAACTGAGCTCAGAGAGGTTCAGTGATTTTTCTCAGAGTCACACTGCTAGTAAGATGTGGAAGTCGGAACTGGCACACTCCTCTTTGGGACTGTTTAGGTGGGGTCCCCTCCCCTCCTGCACACCCTGGCCAGCCCCTCCCTGTCTCCTAACTGCCGAGCTGCAGCCTCTCTGGGGAGCTCTTGGAACCTTGCCTGAAGGATTCAGTGTTCACCTGAGTCTCCTTGAGTTCCCAAGAAGCTGGCGGGTCCTTGAGCTGTGCTCCCCAGGATGGGCTCTGAGCAGCCCAGACGGTGGTTCTCCCAGGAACAGCCCCACTGTGTCAGGCTGCAGAGCTGCGGGGAATTTGACCTCCATACAAAAGCAGCCTTGTGCTGGACCTAGACATTATTTTTTTTTCTAGCCCTTTCTAAGTTGAGCAGGAACTCTAGCTGGAGCAATGCAATGTCAAGACCACAGGGAGGGGAGGGTGTCCAGGGGGAGCAGCTGCTGGGGATGGGGCTGGTAGAAGTGCTGGTCATGCCTATTCCCCACACCTACTCTCCCTAGGCGACTCACACTCACAGGGGAGCTTTGAGCTGGAGGTCAGAAGGCTGGGAACTCAGCCCGGCTTGGTCTCTGGGCCTCCCTGAGTCCCACGCTCCTACCCTCCCAAACGTTTCAAGGGCAGACATGGTGTTTCTGCTGGGAAGAGTTCAGGGAGCTCAGAGCCTGAGGTTGGGGGCAGGGAGGGGTCCTAGAGACAGTGTGAGGTAGAAGATCTGCTATCATTTCAGCCTGATGCGAGTGTAGGGGAAGGTGAGAAGGACTTCGCAGAGGTCAGAGGAATGGGAACACACGGTAATCTTAATCTTTATCTTACTAAAAAAGTGGAGCCTCTGGGGATACTTGTGGAAAGCTTACCTTAATGAAAATGTGCAGTTCTGCCAATTATAGGTGTGCCTGGGGCTGGATACACTGCTGTGGCCCAGGCTGGCCTTGACTTAAAGTTCTTGTCAGGTTCTGAAGCCACCATGGCCTCTTTGCCTTATATATCCCCGGAGTGTCTGGCAGGGCTAAATGAGTTCCAAAGACTCTTAGCAGAGGGTCCCTGTGTGAACGGGCATCCTCCTGGTGCTTGTCACCAGACGGGACTTTGAGCAGAGGCTGTGGGATCCGGTACCCTGAAGAGAGGTCTGTCCTGGCTGGGAAACAACGTGATTTGATTCCAGGATCAGAGTCTCCCTCCTTCTGCTTAATCCGCTTCATTCTAAGGCCTTTCCCACAGGTTGCAGAAAACACTCTGGGTTTCTTCTCTCCACTCTTGCTCGCCCGTTTCAGCCTTCCCCAGTGAACTGAGTGACTTGCTCTTGTTTAGAAGCCTTTGTTACAGAGCCCCAGAGAACACAGCTCCCTGCCTGCCCAGTCACCCGAAGCATAAAGGGCAACTGATAAGAAACAGGACGGGTCAGTCCAAGAAGAGCTGGAGCAACTTGAGAGGGAGAGAGGGAGGGGGAGGGAGGGGGAGCGAGGAAGGCAGAACAAAGGGCAAAGCTTGGGAAAGCTCACCCCAAGCACTCAGCAGACACTCTTTGGATGCGTGCTTGAGGCT